CCCAATTGGTTTCTTTTTGTTTCACTATAGTGGAGACTGGGTCCTTTACACTTTCTAATAAGAATAAGTTATTAAATATCATTAGTAAATTCTACAATAATCAGTATAGTGCTGTGTTTACATTAACATTGTGTAACTGTAATAAATCATGTCCTGGAAATAAATAAAAATAATTTTGCTTTGTTGTCCCATTCACCCAGTACACTAAACGAGGAGAAAGAATGACTGTAATTAGTGAAACTGCAGGAAATATAGGTATGATAGAACCTGTTACTTAAAATAAACTATAGAAATTATAATATGTACATCATAAACTTAAACATTACCACTGTGACTAGAAAAACTATATGTAGCTGGTGTAACTGATGTATTTACACACACTTGAATTGAGGGTTTAAAAGAAGAAGGAAGTAGCTTATGTGCCTCAGGCACTGGAGAATAGCTCTGATGTACAGTCTCAAAATGCACTTGTTCACTCCTGTCTGTAGGTACACCATCAAAGCTTGTTTGTTTAGCAGAGTCACCAGTCCCACTATCTTTACACGAAGAGTGCTCAGATATATTGTCTGAAAACATTTGAGGTGAATCACTGTCACTATGCACTACATGTGTCATTTTTATACTTTCGGCGGGAAAAGTATGCACAGCACTAGCCATGCGTCTACGAGTATGGTAAATGATTACCACCCAAATTATAGAAGTTCCTACAGCACAACACACCACTGTAATAATTATAATACCGGCCATGTTTTCCTCATTTACCATAATGGCTACTGGAGGTAACACTCGTAACTCAGTCATATCTTTCTTAGTACCTAACTCATTAGTAATCTCACACTCATATCTTCCTGCATCACTAGATTCTGATCCAATAATAATCAAAAGCTGATCATCTGCAGTGAGGAAGTGCCGTTCTGTAGCAACAATAGGGGATCCATCTTTAAGCCATTTTATGACAGGCTTTGGAGACCCTGATATCATGCATTGTAAAACTACAGAATCCCCACTAGTCACTTCTTTGTTTTCCATAACTCTTACAAAAGATGGTTCTTGCAATACTGTAAGTGTAGCATTAGCTATTAGAGTTCCAGCTGGATTCTTAGCTGCACAACTGTATATTCCCATATCTGTAGTTTTTGCATTTACTATGAAGAATAAGTGATCAGTTGGCATAACATTCATTCTCCTTTCTCTTGCAGCTGGAAAATCATTACCTCCATCTTTCTTCCAGGATATTTCTGGTGGTGGATCTCCTGTGGCTGCACAATTAAGTGTTACAGTCTCACCAGTCTTAACAGTTACGTTAGTAGGAGTTTTGGTGAACCGTGGAAAAGTGACTATATTGACCTTTGCCTTGGTGGAATATGTTGTTCCAAAATTATTACTTACAACACATTGATATTTCCCGGAATCAGCATGTGTCACATTGGGAATTACCAACATTGATGTAGCTCTGGGTTGACCATTAGGTCCAATTGTAATATTCTCATACACCACAGGATTGCTAACATTTCCATTGTTTTTTCTCCACAAGAATGTCATATTATTAAATGGAATGGATGTTGCAGAGCACACTAAGTTAGCTGATCGACCCTTTATGGCAAGATGAGTTTTGGGATGTTCCACAACTTTTGGCTTTGGTGAATCCCCACAATTTTCTTCCTTAAGTTTAGTAACTGATACTCCTCGAACATCAGATGGGTATGCACAGGTTGCTGTGACATACTTCTGTTCAGCCTTATCTTTTATCCATTTTACTATCCATAGTAAATTGCAATCACAGAGTAATGATGAAGAGTTTAAATGTAATTTCCTTAGTTTTGTCATGGAATCAAAAGCATGTTGTTGAATAGAAGTAATATTATTTCCCTTTAAGTCTAATTCAACTAGATTAGACAAACCATCAAAAGCTCTTGAGTTAATAGATTTTATATGGTTGGCAGCCAAACTAAAAGAATTTAAATTCTGTAGCTTAGAAAATGGTCCAGACATATCTTCTACTGTCCATGATATTTTATTGTTATTTAACTGCAGGTTTTGCAACTGGGTCATGTAGCCAAAGGCATCTTGAGAAATTGAGGAAATTTTATTGTATCCAAGGTTGAGGGTACGCAGATTGATTAAGTGTTGAAATGATTTCCCTTCCACTTCTAATAAATAGTTATGAGATAGGTCCAAGACTTCCAAATTTGTGCATAGTTCCCAGCTTCCAGAGTCAATTTCTGATATTAAATTATTAGACATAGATAATGTGATCAATGACTCCAATCCATACATCCAGCCCTTAGAAATATTTCTTATTCTATTATGGTCCAATTGTAACAAATTCATAGACTTGAATCCAAAAAAGGCACCATCCATTATATTGTCAATATTATTAAACCTGAGCTTTAGTGTAGTCAGATTAGATAACCCTTGAAATAAAAATGGACTGATCACATGCAACTTGTTATGATTCAATTCCAGAGTCCTCAAATTTGTTTGATGCCTAAACAAGTGATTGGGAAGTGATTTTATTTCATTTCTGTTTAGTTTCAAAACTTCTAGATTGGTCAAATTTGTTAACGCTCCTTCTTGAATGAACTGAATGTGGTTGCTATTGACATTCAAAATTCTAATGGAACTGTTAGCTGGAAATGTACCTGTGTCTATTGATCCAATATTATTTTTATTCAAACTCAGTTCTTGTAACTGTTCATGGTGTACTAAACTTGGTATGAACTGAAAAGAGTTCTTGTCCAGCTTTAATACTTGTAAATTCAATAGTTTGTCGAAAGCTTCCGTAACGTTTTCATTCAATCTATTATAACTGAGATCCAATTGTTCCACCCACTTAGGAATTTTTGGCACAGCTACGAAATTCTTTTTTGAACAATCAACGTACTGCTCCAGGCAATCGCATTTGTGTGGGCACTCAACATTTTCTGCTTTTGTGGAAACACTTATCAAACGGATTATCGCTATAAACAACAACAAATGAGAGAGTCCCATTTTCATGCATTTGTTCTAGCTGCCCGATTGATACAACAAACGACGAATACTCTTCGTTCTTACATAATTCTTTACACAAATGACACACACATAAAGTTTATAAAGAAATACACTTTTTCAATATTCATTTCAAACAGTATTCGCATTGTAATTGTGATAAAAACGAACATTTAGAAAAATAGCTCGACATATTTACGGCGACCCACTCGACGGCCATTTTATTTTCTTCATTGTTTATAGTGATGTGCGTAGCTCGCGTCGCGATTACGATTTTTGTGATTTTCGCCGGTTTTATGCTTTTATGTTTTCAAGATTTAATTAAAATATAATTAATTTTATTTTATCCAAAATAAATACCCAAAAGATTGTTCTAAACATTTATAAATTTAACTCATGCCTCTACAAAGTTCTTACAACGAAACGAAGTACGAACAACGTATTTCGTGTCGTTGGATGTTAGGGATTATGGAAACCAAATAAATGAATTTGGTAAATATTTTAATGCTTTACCTATTTATTTTTGTACATATTTTGCTTCTAAGACATGCGACTCAGTTTACAAGCAAAGATGTAGAAATAAAGATAAAATTCATTTGAGTACCTTCAGTTATGCACAGATGGCGCTACATGTAGGTTACAGAAACTTATAATTTTCTTATTTGTGCATAATAATTATTTATGGCACGGTAATATTATCATACAGTTTTCCATTGACTATTCTATTCTAGAAAATCTTCTAGGACTGAATCATATTGTTGTTTTAATATGAAGAGAAATGTAAACAAAAAAATATTCAAAATTTACAACTTTCATTCCCACCATTTTTACTGACTTCAAACATATATGGAAGGCTTTAAGCTATTAAATCTTCTGCTCTCAATAGAACAGATATAGGAAAAATTAAAAAATTAAAATATATTTTGAATAGATTAGTGGTCTATTAATTAAACAGCACATTCATACTTGTTACAAACAATTTTAATGATAAATAAGAAATCATTATTGGAATGTTAAATGTTTGTTACCTTAGTACATTTTCAATAGATTAAAGGATAATAAATAATAATCTATTTAAGATTATATAAAAGCCCTTCTTTTGGATTTAATAGACTAAGCTTTCAAAATACAACAAACATAATATTTTAATTAATACAATGTGAAATATTAGGTACTTCACTTTGTATTTATTTATTATTAACTATGCCATTTGAGGTAACTAACAGTTAATGAAATAAAAAGATTGTCTAAAGAAATACATGTATCAATCATGCATTATGTTTCAAGTTACAAGCAGGCACTAAGCTTGACTGGTATTTGATTTGTATGTTAATACTTACATTATAGGACATTTTATCACTGCTCTTTAATCTGAAATCAATTTGAAGTGATCAATTTATTGACAACATAGCTGTAATTTATACTGGTAGGTGCCTCAATTAATTAATGAACCTTATTAAACACGTAGCCTAGTAGAGTTCAGACCTTTCAAAACTTTAATATAATACTGGCACTTACTTTGTTTAAATCGAAGAACACTACTTTTACTTCTATCTAATAAGATATAATTTTAATTTGTAGGAAAACACTCCTTCAACTTGTTAACTATTATTGACAATCAGTGACAATGACACAATTAAATTTGCTGTCATAGATGTCATGTAGAGTTGACTTTGTATTTCTGAAACGTAATTAAAAAAAAAAACAATATTTAGTTTACTACTAAGTTAGTACCTACTAAGTTAGAAACTACCTACTTAGTTAGTACCTACTTGTATTTTTCACGAATGCTTCCTTTTGTTGATTTCAACTAAAGTACGATCGGCTTCCAGTTTTGTTACTATTTGTATTTCGTTATAGTTTTTTAATTTAGTATCGTATATAAAAGCGGTTCATTTTATTTAATTTATTAACGTATTTTAGTTATATCATTACTGAATCAACTTCAATTACAATCTATAATTTTGAAATGTAGCGTTGAATTGTTCTATTGGCTCGAACTACTCGAAACTCGAAGACTTTCTTTATTTTTTATTGTGCACGTCACGTCACGTCACTAACGTCATTTTACTATCAAAATACTTGTTCCAAAAATTAATATTGTTTTTCATGAGAAATTGAATTACAGTGAAAATGGAATCTTATGAAAGTGTTCTTCTCGTTAAGAATGAAGTGTTTGTATTTAAAATACCACCAAGAACATCAAATAGAGGGTATAGGTAGGTGTACAACTTTTTTGTACCGTGGGTAATTGTTTTGTAGAAAAATGATAAAACGGTGGGTGTTTTTAGGGCAGCCGATTGGAACTTACAAGAACCACAATGGACGGGGCGTATGAGACTGGTTGCCAAATCCGAGGAGTTGATTATGAAACTGGAAGACAAAACTTCTGGGGAGCTGTTTGCTAAATGTCCTATTGACAAATATCCGGGGGTGGCTCTCGAGTCCGTCACTGATAGTTCGCGTTACTTCGTTGTGCGGATTCAGGATGATAATGGCAAGAGAAAATTAAATACGTTTTTTATTATCTTGTTGTCTGTTTGAATTAAGATTTTTAACACATGTATACTATATCATTTCAGGTCGAACAGCTTACATAGGTCTCGGATTCGGAGATCGATCAGACTCATTTGATTTGAACGTCGCTCTACAAGACCATTTCAAATGGTTGAGAAAAGAACAAGAAGGAGAACAGGCTCCTCAGCAAAACCTTGACTTAGGTTTCAAAGAAGGGGAAACAATAAAAATAAACATGAAGATCACTGTAAGTACTTAGTACCAATAGTAATGCGATTACAGAATGTATGTAAACACTACATTAGATTTGTGTGCTCAGAATCATATTAGATCAATGAAGGGCAACTGAGTCAGCCAGTCAACACTAATATGATTGTGAGTCATCTAATTGGAAAAAGGACTGTTCTTTGTATAGTATTACGAAATGTAGCTGTCATGTAGCAACTAGCTCATTGTTACTGTATAATTTACTAACTTGCAGAAAAAGGATGGAAGTGAAGGCAGCCGGCCACGCCGTGGTGTGGGTGCTGGCGGTGGAGGAGGCCTTTTACCTCCTCCTCCAGGTGGCTCCCGGCTACCACCACCACCTTCCCCACAACATGCTCCTTCACCCTCTGCTGCTGCTCCAGCTGCTGCTAATTCAGAGTGGGGTGACTTCAATTCAGCCAGGTAATAAAGACTCATTCATTGGTCAATTTCACATCTACACAATCTACTTATTGTACTTCACTGATTAGGCATACAAAAACATAAATATTCTACTTTCCACAACCAACTTTCCTGTCCACTTTTTTCAGGATACCAACCCTCCTGATTATATTTTCAAGTGAATATTAGCATCTCAATAACATGACTTAAAGCAGTGGATGGAAAGTTTATTAATCCCAAAATGTACTGTTTTATATTTGCCATAACAAACAAGTAGATGTGATGTGTTTGCAATCATCATAGTGTCATATGAGACTACTGTGTTGTTTTCAGTGCTCCAAGTCAACAACAACAGCCGACAACACCCGCCAACCAACAGAACTGGGTGCAGTTCTAAGCTCACTTACTAATATGTTATTGTGATTTGGTGTCTGTTGTAGGATGGCACTCATGTGTGTTGCACAATACTTAATAATTACTTAATTATGTAGGCATATATCAACAGCTCTTGTATTCATTCTGTAGTGAGTTAAAGAAAATATATCATTATCATTGTAGGATAAAATATATTATTGAAACTTTATGAGTAGATGCCAGATCACAATATAAATGTATGCAATAAATACTATTAATATTAATTATCATTGTACTTTACTATCTGTATATGTTGTAACACTTGTATAATTACTTAGATATATTATGTGGTAGAATATTTTTGGCTCTATATAATTGTTGTAATCGTAAGTTGTTGAATATTGCATGTCATAGACACTATCTATGTAAATAGTTGAGAGTTTAAATGCCACATTGTATTAGAAGTTGCTGAATATATATATTACAGAAACATTATACTAATCACTGTAATAAAATATGAGATCTGTGTTGTTCACATATTATGTAACAGATGTACAAATGTGTAGAAGGTATAATAGTGAAATTAATATTCCATTTCTTTCTATAAAACTTATTTATCGTGTGTTAGTGTTGCAAGCAGGATTGGTGATATAAACACTTACTTATGTATATTAGTTTCTATTTATATTATTTTTTATTTAAGACTTATATCAAGAATTTCACAAAGAGAATGTTGTAGCTACTTATGAAATATAATATAAAGAATTTGCTGATGTACCCAGTGAGTTATTATATGTTCTTATGATTGAGAGCTTAAAACTCAACCCATACAACTGTTTGTTTCTTTGCACAGCAATCATGAAGATCTCGAATAAGATATTTTATCAAACATATATCTTATTGTGTTACATTCAGAGTTACAGAATGAAATATAAATAACACCGTTTTTGTTTGTTTGAATTCGAGGGACCCTTTAGAAAGTTGTCTGATCATGACCTTGTATTTAAATATTGATAATGTGCTGTTGAAGCTGTTGTAAGAATTTTATTGATTGTCGTGCTTGTTAAGGTATCAGGTGTATCTATAGAGATTGATGCATGTTCGTATTATACTTTGTTTCCGAATATATCAATGAAAAAACACGATAGTTTTCACCATGGAAGATAACAGCAGAGTAACTAAAAGTGTTTATACAAAATTGAAGAAAATGTGGTTAGGTTTTGAAAAAAGCAACTGGATTTTGATTTCTCCTGGTAAAAACAAGCAATTCCAACGCTCCAAAAAACTTGGAGTAGGTCATGGTAATACAAAGAAACAGGCCATGGCAATGAATCAAATATAAGTAATTTTCATGTTTCACTTCTTTTTATCAAGTTTTATTCATGACATTGGACAGACGCCAAAGCACTTGTACAAAATAAAAACTGGGTTATCGCTGTACAAGTATTTAGGTACTTTTTCGAAAAATAAATTTCATAAAAAGTTAGGTAGGTACATTTTTACGTTCAGAGTGGTAGGTGGACTGCAAATACATCCTAAAAATCCTAATAACAAGTTTTAGTCAGAAAAATATGTTATGTGCTCTAAGGCATGAGTGAAGCACCGACTCCACTCCAATGCGCTTAAACTTGAGATTTCATACTTGGTAATAAGGTAACACCCGATACTTGCGATTAAAAATGTAACGAGAAAACTTCATTCTTATGGCCTGGGTTTATAAGTACCTAGGTCAAGGGTAGCACGCCGCTCGACCAGAACCAGACCCGAGCGAACGGCGCATAGCGCGGAACGCGAACGTCGCGACGCCTCGTTTGGCCATAGCCATCAGACCATTACAGTTGGGGCCTTCTAGAGCCGACGTCCAGCCCACCCAGGGCGGGATATGCCATTTGACGATTTTCCCCATGCTAAAGAAGGCAAACCTAAAACAGATTATGCAATTTACCTAAAATTAAACCTAAACCGAATCTGCCAATTGATAGAATTTTAAACAACAATATTACTTACATCAATCTTTTCTATGAAAGCGTTGACGTAATTGCTTCATTATTTATTGACCTCAAATCCGTAATCAGGTGTCATAGGTTTTTTGTTTTTATATATTTTCATCAGAAAATAGTACAGAAATAACTAGGTTGTAGAATGGTGTCCGTTACCCAGGCCAGATGTTGTCGACAATGGTCATTTGAATCTTATAGATAATTAGTTATGCGGCTTCTGTAATTGTTGCGCACATTTTTAAATTTGTTGCGCTTATAGTTTTTTAATTATTTCACAAAAACATTTCCTGCTGGCGTAACGTTACCACAGCCAGACCTTTTTCTTTCTAATGGGAATATTTAAATAAATATTAGCTATAAAATTAGTTGTCTAGATAAAGTAAATGTTGTGCCTTATTTTGTATTTGTTCTTTCTTCGGTTGCGAAGTTATTCGAGATTTTGCTGCGGTAACGTTTTTGGTTTTGCTAGATCTTTGAAATGGTTAAGCGGATTCTTATCATATTTTGTACACGACTTCCGAGGATTTAGTTTAAATTTGTTGTGCAATAACAAAACCAAAATAATGCATATTTTAAAGGTTTTTTCATTAAATAGAAAAACACTTCAATTGGCCCCAGCACTCTCAATAAGAAGTCTAAAGACTTACTTTAAACGTAATTTTAAAGCTTGTAACTGCCTTCAAATGTATGTGAAGTTTCATTAGTATCCCGTAAGTATTTAACAAGTTATGATGATATTCAGTTCTTCACGAGCACGGCCTTAATGCACGCGGTGTTATTTGGCCACTGGATTGGATATATGAACTGAATGTTATGTCAATAATTAGTTGTTTAGATCAGTTGTATATCAGTAAAATTTCAGCTCAATACATTGGATAATTAATGAGATAATACTATGAAAGTCATTAGGAAGTGAATGACCGTGGTAAGCCGACCAAGTTTAGGTGGTTACGAAAAAGTTTAAAAGGTTAAACTAAGTCCTCGGAAGTCGTGTACAAAATATGATAAGAATCCGCTTAACCATTTCAAAGATCTAGCAAAACCAAAAACGTTACCGCAGCAAAATCTCGAATAACTTCGCAACCGAAGAAAGAACAAATACAAAATAAGGCACAACATTTACTTTATCTAGACAACTAATTTTATAGCTAATATTTATTTAAATATTCCCATTAGAAAGAAAAAGGTCTGGCTGTGGTAACGTTACGCCAGCAGGAAATGTTTTTGTGAAATAATTAAAAAACTATAAGCGCAACAAATTTAAAAATGTGCGCAACAATTACAGAAGCCGCACAACTAATTATCTATAAGATTCAAATGACCATTGTCGACAACATCTGGCCTGGGTAACGGACACTGTAGAATGATCCTCAACATAGATAATATCAACTTGCTTAACTATGTACCTACGATGTACGTAATATTGTATGTAGGTACTACCCAACTCATTCATTGTAAGCGCCGGGAACTCCTATCTGAGTACCTACCTATACATATATCATTATATCAACAGCTATAACTTTTCATGGATTTATGAATACCTGTGAGTTTCGCGCGTGAAATTGAAATTGTCTCGATTCTCGAAGGGATGCGTGTCGGGCGAGTATTATCTAAGGATTTACCCTATCTCACAGTGAAGGAGTTTTTTGTATACGTTCCTACTACCTGCTTACTTTTTGTTAGTTTTCTTGTCAACTGAAGAGTTTGGGTCATATTTATTTACGAGCTTATGCAGAAGCTGGGAAGGTAAACAGTTTATATTATATATATAAGTAAGTATGTACCTAAGTTATATAAGTCCTACAATACTTAATGGCGAGCTATAACTAATATAGTACTTGGGTATGTCGGTATGTAGCAAGCTGCTCATTAATGATGTGAAAAATGTCATTAAGTATTTTATCATACATAGGGTATTTTAAAAAAACAGTTTTTCTTTCTTTTTACCCTAAAGTTCTCTTCACCATCACCTGAGAAGGTCGAAACCTAGGATTGGCAAACTCTTAATTACTGACTAAAATACACTGCCAACTATAGTGCGGAAAGATTTGGTGCCTTCAGTTAAAAAAATATGTAGTACCTACTTATAACAGGAATGAAAAATGTTTTTCATGTATCAATATTACCTAACTCAAATGATTGTTTGAAAACGCGGAGAAACGTTTATCGATAAGTACCTAGGTACCTAAGTTTCGGTTGTTATCGATTGGTTGGGTAATAAATAGCGTTAATGTTTTCAATACCTATTTCGATTTAAATAGGGCGAACTCGTTAATATTGTACAAGAGTGTTTACTTCAATGAAATACTGCTAGAAAATTGAGATGCGACATCGAATTTCCATTACCGAGGAATAACTTATGGGAGGCTAAAGTGCGCTCCGAATTTTAATGATCTCTTATCATGTCTACACCTATAGTTTAATCAAAGACCTTGGTATTATGCTTTCTAGGTGTTATACTGTATGTTCCAGGTAGGTACCTACTGACCTGCCCTTAAATATGAGTAAGTGTGGTATCTACAACGATACCTACCTGAGTAGCTATGTAGAATTTAAATTTGTTCCATTCTCAGGAGAATAGAAGATACCTACCTACCTAGTATGTCAGGGTCAAGTTTAAGTTATCCAGATAGACTGCTAAAATTTAATGTTCAGCCATTAGCTTTCGACTTGGTTTATCTTTATAAAATTACCCACTCTATTATAGATTCCTCTGAATTACTCTCACACATAAGTTTTAACATTAAATTTAGTGCCCGTAGATCAAACGAAATTAATCTTTTCGCTCTACAAATTTACAAAAACAATATATCTTTCTATAACCCTTTGACCAGGATGGCTCGCCAATATAATGAAATGACAAAGAGCAATCACAAACTTTTTGACATATTAAATTACAGCATTAATAAATTCATCTCAGATATAAATGGCATTCTCCATTGTCGATCTGGTGTGGATTCTTCAGTCCCGGGAATCTGTGCCTGAAGGATCTTAATCAACCCATATTTTTGTTAAGAGGAACCAGTATTGACACACGTCACTTTATGTTTTCTAGTTTCTACTTCTTGTTTCTTTTTGTCCCTTTTTAAGCTTTTTTAATATTTAAAACTTGTGATTTTGCAATATGCACATATTGTTACGTTACTATCTAGATCAAAACCTTTAGTTTTTAAGCTAATAATATTTGATTGTAATGTGTTTTGTGCATGAAATAAATAAATAAAAAAAATGTACCTAGTCTAAACTAGTCTATTCGCAGTGTTGTGGAATGTACATAATTATGTAGTCGTGGTAGTAGCTCGTCAACCACCCACATCTAGTTTACTATGGTCTCACTTTGTTTCGTTTTTCCGCCCATCCAACAGTCTCTTTATGGTGGTTTTACATAGCTTGATGACAACCTGCTTTTTTGGAGGGGAATTTTCAAGGGCCTTGTCCCACATTGAAAATGAATGTGGCCGGCGTTCGTCACGTCTGTACATTAGTGTCTTTTGCGGCAGCTGAGGAATGAGAAGGAAAGTTCTCTTACCTACGCGCTCCGCCTTCTGTGCGAGCATGAGTGTTTCGCAGTTCTGAGGAGATAGTTGTTCAGTTCCTCTCTCTCCGCACCATGACATGAGCCTTACTCTAGAAGACGTCGCCGCCGCCGGCTGTTTACCTGATAACATGACGGTGCTCAAGCACAACACATCGCCACTACGCATGTGCATTGCATGAGCATTCCAAACGTGGCCCTGGTTGGTCCTCGCAGTGTGTGTAGGTACCTGTTTATCCTTCCTACTATTAGGTACCTACATTCTGTATATTTTTATTTTCTCGTAGTGAGTAGTAGCTAAATTAATTTCTCCTAACTACATCTCTAGGGAAATAATAGA